GATAAACTTTGGACGGTGATGGGGGTAGACGAAATCACTGTTCATTTTCGCCTATAGGCATTGCGTAGTGTTTTCCATATATATATATATATATGTATATTATTATTATTATTTTATTATTTTTATGTTTCTATCATTTTGGCAAAGATTGGAAAGTTTTTAGGTATAAACACATATTTTCCCATCTTTTTCTGATATTTCAAAAATACCCCCAATTACAAGTTGATTTTTTAAAATCTATTTTTTAATTTTTTAACATCATTTTGAATTATTTATCTTAATCTTACTTTAAACATACATTTTCCGTTTTTTTGGATTTTTTTATATTTTTATATTTTTTATACCTTTTTTTGCTGCTACAGTACTCGGCATTTATCGGGCCGAGCTACTTGGACTCAGCCCGAGTAATTGGCTCGGTCCTGTCTGAATCGCACTTTCTAACATTGGAATAAATGCATGAATGCTTTATAAGGGAGTTTTTTTTTTTTTCTTTTTTGAGTCTTATATGCAATGTTTCTCCGATACCTTAGTTTTCTTCTTGTGTCGCTTGTTGACACTCAGGCATATGTTGACACGCCTAGACATTGGTTCAGTGCATGTGTCTGAAAATTTCTGGGCCAACATGCTGTCTTAACATGGTTGTAAGACGTTTCTCAATAATAGACATGTAGTATCCTAATTAATTTATATAAACATGTTATTGACATTCATGGGTTTTGAATCCTTGACCTTTTGATGGGACATTGAAAGTAGTAGCCACCTCGTCCTTAATTAAGTATTTTATATTTCACAATTATCATACTAACAGTTAATGTGTATCTCAAGACATAAATGCCCATTCCAACGATGTGTACTGTGGTACAAAAAAATAAAATATAAACTAAGTGATTTACATGGGATTCCCAGAAAAAACAACATTATTGAAAGCATTTGTTGTAGTACAAAACATTAAAGAGTTATCATATGAGACTCCAAAAAAAAAAAATCATATTATTATCATGTTATTATAGTTCGTCACAAGCTTTATAAAAAAAAAAAATGGTCTCAAATGGAATCAAATGTTAATATAGCCCCACATCCACACACTCAAAATACCATTTCTAAAGTTTAAATGTGGTTGATATTAAAATGTAAAATGTAAACTGCCCTTTAAGAGATTTGAGCTTGCATTCTTCTAGGGTGAATATAAATGGTAGGGGTGGCAATTGGGACCTATCGATCCGAGACCCGACGGGTAGACCCGACTTGGATCTAGGTATGGGTCCAAGATTTGGACCTGGCAGGTCGGGTCCGGGTCCAAGAAATCTTGGACCCGACCTGAAATTTATTAACTTACTTCAAATATGTATTATAACATGTAAATAATGCACATATATATATATATATATATATATTTAACATATTTATGAAATATGTGTTATCCCCGCTGTTATTCTTTTATAAGATGAATTATGGGGATTAATCCTCTCATAACTAACTTTAGTTTCTTTTTTGTATCTCCCTCTCCTTCCTCTCTTTGTTTCTGATTTTCCGGTTGGGTTTGGGTACCTTATAAACAATTCGGGTTTGGGTATGGGGACTCCAGACCCAGTCAGGGTCGGGTCCGGTTCAGGGTTCGGTGACTCGGATCCAACCCAACCTGTTGCCACCCCTAATAAATGGTTCTATCAAAACAACTATAAAAATTGTTTGATGTGCAGCAAAATATTATCACTAAGAAGGTTTTAAATAGCAAAATAATATTTTTATGAGAACTTATCAAAATACCCATGAGAGATGCACTATTAGCATTTTACACTTTTGACACTATTCTAACTCATGATAATGAGCTTTTTAGAGGTGTTTTGATAAATTTCCCTATTTTTATTGTATAAAATAAATTTACGTTTTAGAGCTTTTATAGGTGTTTTGATAATTTTCCCTAGTTTATTGCATAAAATAAAAT